GTGCGCGCTCGAGGGCGCGCGCGCGCCTGGGTGCGCGCCTCGCCGCTGAAATGCAGGCGGCGGGTCGGCGAGGCTGACATGGACCCGGGGCACGCTCCGCGGCCCGCCATGGGGGTCAGCGAGCCGCAGCCGCTCCGGAAAGGAGAGGAAGAAGCTCGGCAAGAGTGCCTCCTCCGTCGGCCCGCAAAGCCACGCCGCCCGGGGAGACCCGGGGAGCTCCGCCTCGCAGCCAGCCCGGCGCTTGGATCTCCTTAGGTATTCGCTGTCCTTCCTGGGTTTTTTGCGCCTTCGCTTCTTGATCTGGCGGAGGGATGAGGCGCGATTGCGGGGTTTGGCCACTGTTTGTGTGCGTGCGTGTGTGTGTGTGTGTGTGAGAGAGAGAGAGAGAGAGAGAGAGAGAGAGATGCGATGTTTTTGTTGCCATTGTTGCTCGCTTGCATTTGCAAGACGCACCCCCCCCCCCCCAAGGATCTGGAAGGAAGACCCTTAAAATAATAACCAAGCCAATGTTCTTCCAATGTATACATTGTCACCAGCCTCTTTTCTGTTATTATTTTAGTGTCTTCCTTTCATCTCCGCCCCCGCCCGCCAACAACTCTATAAACATTTCACGATCCTTATTCCCCACTCCCCACCCCGCAACACACACGCGTTTTAAAACGCAGGGTTCTCGTGCTTTGTAATGATAATAGTAGCTATGCAGCTTTGTAATCGACAGCGATCGCCACTTCTACGTTGCAACAGGACTTGGTTCTGAAAAGGAGCAGCGCTGGCGAGGAGAGCGATTTGAAGGTGGCGGTGGGGAGCAGAGATTTGGCTGCTCCCTTGTAGGGTCCTAAGAGAACCCTTGCTGGGGCAAAGAGGGGGTGTGTGTGCGTGCTTGCTGTCCCATTGGATTCCCAGCTTGCCAGCTCTCCACTCTTTGTAGCAGAATCCCCAAAGAGATGATGGGCTGCAAGGGCGGTGGGGACAGAGGCATCAGAATTCCTCCCTGGCGCAAGCGGAGCCTCTTCTGTCTCCGAGGGATGTCTCTAGCTGCCACCTGCCAGCCCCACCTCCCCTCCTTTCCTCAAGGGGGAGATCAGGAGGCGGCCACCCAAACCCAACTCTTCCGGGAGGGGAGGAATCCTGCCCTGCCTTTCCCTGCTCTAAGCGAAATAGAGTTGCAAGAGGCATTATTAAAAATAAATCTGGGGGTATTCCGTTCGCAAGTACCTAGCTTCTGACAAGCGAGGGGCGTGTGGGTCTATGAAAGCAATAGGATGATGGGCCCAACCAGCGCACCACCTTCAAGGGAACTTGGGCAAATGGGTGCCAACTTAATCTAGGGGAAGCTGACTAAGCATGGGAGCTTATTGTGTTAGGGAATCTTTCCTGCACTCTAGTAACCAGGCATCTTTGTTCTCTATGTTCCCACCAGCTCCAGATATGCTCCTTTTGGTTGCCTTCTTGCTTTCTACGGAAAGAGAGAGCTGTTCAATTTACCTTTGGAGATTGGCGGCGGCGGGGGGGGGGGCGCTCCCCTCCCTTGGATCTAGGCAGAAATCGAGGCATAGGTTCTCCTTCTCTGGGGTCCAAGTCCAAGCCAACACAATTAGGGAAGAGGAAGAGAGAGAGAAATGAAAAGGAGGCGAGGCAGGTAAAATAAGGAGAGGGTAGCAGCAAGGGAGCGGTTAAATCCTCCGCCGCCGCCCCCTCTTCCCTCTGGAAGGAAAAGATGCAAAATGCTCCATTGTCACCCAAGTGGCTTCAACACTTGGCTAGGAGTTTTGGAAAAGGAGGAAGGAGGGGGGAAAATATCTGGGAAGAAATAAGAGCCTGTTGGATGTTGTGGGGTGGACTGAAGCCTTTTCAGCTGCAGGGGGGTGGGGAGTAGAAAGAGGAGCGGGGAGGACGAGGAAAGCAAGAAGGAAGGGGAAGGTCTCTCCTCCAAGTTCCCCCGGCGCTGCCCTTTCCTTTACCTCTGCTGGGACAGGTTTAGGTTTGATGGAGAACTGCAGGCGAGGGCGGGAGAGAGAGAACGAGAGAACGCGCGAGCGAGCTCAACTGAGCCTACTACTTTGGAAGCCAGCGGAAAGAGTTCTTGGCTATGTGGAGAGGGGCGGGTATCTCCTCTCCCCTTAATGGCTGCAGCTCTCAAGGATTTGCTGGAATATGCACACTTGGTGGCCCAGGGGACATTCCCCTATTATGATCCTTTTTTCCACCCCAGGCTTTCCTCCCCTTCCAGAGGGGGGCGGACGTAGGAGACCACCACCCAGCCACCACCGGGATTGTTCCTCTGCTCCTGGCTGCTTCTTCTTTCTCCATCATCTCGGGTTCCCCCGCTCCTGATCCCCCGAATAACTCTTCCTCCTCCTCCTCCTGGCGGGGAATGGGGGGTGGGGGTAGAAAGCAAGCCCAGTACAGTCAGGGCTTCCCAGACGTGCCCCCCCCCCCACCTGGTGCCAAGTGCGTCCTCCTACATTTGTTCCCCTTTTCTTCAAGCTCAAATCCATGACGTGGTGGTGGGGGAAGCCTGATTCAGGGGCAACAATGCGCTCTCTCTCTCTCTCTCTCTCACACACACACACACACAAAAGGGAAGAAGGAGTGGAAGAAGGAGCGAAAGGATGAGAAGCCCCAGCCTGAACCTCCTGCCATAGACCTTCCCTCCCTCGTTTCTCAAAGATGAGCTGGTGGTACCCAGAGAAGGCAGCGGCGGCAGCGGCAGCGGCAGATCTAGGAGGCTGCAGCAGCCCCCTTTGCCTCCCTCCTCCATTGACTGTGCCAAACAGCATCTCTGCATCCTAAGGAACCTCATTGCATTCCTAGCACGTCTCATCTTTGCTTGCTCCCCCCCCCCCTTCCTTTTGCTTCAGCCCTCAGCAGGAGTATAGAACCAGAACAGAGAGAAAGAGAGAAACCAGCAATCCTTATTTTATTTTATTTTTAAAAGCCGTTGAAAATTCCGTACGTAGATATCTATTTTTCCAAGTGGGTTTGGCTATTTTTTTCCTCCCCTCTCTCCTTTCCCGGCTCTCTCCAAATGTGCTAAAAAAATTATCTCCTTCGGACCGGTAAGTACAAGCTCTTTCTGGATCTCTCGATCTCTCTTTCTCCCTTCCCCCTCCCCGCTTTTCTGCTGGGATAGAGCATCTCTTTCTACCCCCTTTTTTTAATGCAGAAGAGGAAAAGAACTTAAGTAGCTTATCTCTCTGTCCGTCTATCTCTCTCTATTTATTTATCTATCCATCTTTCTACTGAGACAAAGAGCAAAAAATAAGACCTCTCCCCTTCCTCTTTCCTCATTCAGATCGTGCCTGGTAATTTTCCTTCCAACGGGTCCCCCAGTTCCCTTCATTTGCAAATAGATTCTCTGCTTCGATTTATTTCATTTTTCTGTAATGAAATGCTCTTATTCCACCCTGCCCCCACCTGCGCCTCCCATTTCTTTCCCTAACTAGGTCCTTTTGCTATTAAGGGCTTTCTTTTTTCATAACGGGGAGGGAGGAATTCCCTTCGCCTGCATGGGTGTGTTGGGGTGTGGGGGTGGAGTGGAGAGTGCACGATAATCCATATCTGTAAAGCTCCTTTGCTATGAAGAGAACAGAAATAAATACCAGGACTCTGGCAAACCCGTTTGAAATGGGCAGCAGCAGCAGCAGCAGCAGCAGCAGCAAGTAGGGGCTGTGAAGCCATCCTTGTCAGGAGTCATAGTCTTTAACAGTGATTTATTCTTCTGTGTTGGAATGATCTGGGCAAAAGGAGTCAAGGAGAAAAAGAGATGCCCTCCCTTTGCCGCCCCAAGCAGAGGAGGCTGTAGGTCACGGGGTCCAGTTGTCCCCTCCAAGAGGAATCTTTTGTGAGCTTTTGCTGTAAAGCAAGGGTTATTTCTCCTGGGCTTTGTGTAAAGGTATTTTTCCCCCTCTTACTTTTCCTCCCCCTTCTCGTCTTTTGTCCTGCTGGATCATCCCTGGATGGTTCTACAGGCACGAAACACCCACGTCCAGAGTCTCTCCCACCCATCCCTATTGCCCCCTTTCATTCCACCATCTCTTTCCGTCTGTAGCCCTGCAACTGCCGCTTTCCCCCTTGGGTATGTGGATGGCAGAGGCACATGCCTCCCAAAGATTAATCATCTCTAAATGATTTAATCAGCTGAAATGACTAATATGGAGTGTGCATTTATCTGATACTATACCAGTTGCGTTAATCCATTTTGTGTGCTTGGGAGAGAAGGGTCTCTCTCTCTCTCTCTCTCTCTCTTTCTCCTTCTCCCTCTCCCCCAACCCCCGGTATTGAAGCAAGCCTTGCTACTAATCCTTGTATACTGATAAAATCCCAGTTATGGATATTCCTACAGGGATCGGGGCTCTGGGAACTTGTCTGTCCCCATTTCCTTAAATAATGGCTGTATCATAGCATTAGATGGGCATTGCCTGAATAACAAAAAACACAACAACTTCCAAGTTAAGCGTTTGTGTGTTCATGAGAATGCAATGTATAGACTGCATGGGTGTGTGTGTGTGTGTGTGTGTGTGTGTACCAGATAAAAATCTCTTCCTGCACCTCATCTCTCCTTACTCTTGTGATTGATGCAGGTGTCGAGGTAAGACTGAGATGATCTCCCATATGCTTCCTCCTAAACACTCCTTGTCTTTGTGTTGGCGGGGGAAATGTTTCACAACATAGGCCCTATAGGTTCATTTGCTGTTTTTCATGAGGGTGTCATTCACCAAGTAGCCTGGGAGAGGGGTGAGCAGAATGGGGAAACAAGAAGGCTGTTGCATGATGAGATGTTTCAGTATCACTTAAGTCAAAACCAGGGGAGGTTCTAAGAGCAATGCTAGAGTTTTCTTTTCTTTTCTTTTTTGTAATGAACTTCCAAGTAACCTCACGAAACCCCGTTAGATGCTCTAGATGCATGGTTCAATATAAAAATAGCCCGATAAAATGCTGATCGACCGTAATCCATTTGTGTTTTCATTTCTGTTTCAGTTTTGTAATCCGTCGCAACCATGAAGTCTCCGACAGCCGACCCTCCCCGTAAGAGAAGGATGTTGTGGATTATTCTTCTAAGCACAATTGCTGTAGCGTGGACTACCCCCATCCCCTTGATAGAGGACTCGGAGGAGATTGAGGAGTCTTGCTTCGATCCTTGTTACTGTGAAGTCAAAGAAAGCCTTTTTCACATACACTGCGACAACAAGGGATTTATAAATATTAGCCAGATAACGGAGTCCTGGTCGAGACCTTTCAAACTTTACCTGCAGAGGAACTCCATGAGGAGATTATATACTAACAGTTTTCTCCACCTGAACAACGCCGTTTCGATCAACCTGGGGAACAACGCACTACAAGACATTCAGACGGGAGCCTTTAACGGCCTCAGAATCCTGAAGAGGTTGTACCTGCATGAGAACAAATTGGACATCTTCAGAAATGACACTTTCCTGGGTTTGGAGAGTCTGGAATATCTGCAGGCAGATTACAATGTCATTAAGCGGATCGAGAGCGGGGCATTTCGAAACCTGAGCAAGCTCCGGGTCCTGATCTTGAACGACAACCTTATCCCCATCCTCCCCACCAATTTGTTTAAGTCGGTGTCCTTAACTCACTTGGACTTGCGTGGAAACAGGTTGAAAGTGCTCTCCTACCGAGGGATGCTGGATCACATTGGCAGGAGCCTGATGGAGATCCAGCTGGAGGAGAACCCGTGGAACTGTACCTGTGATATTGTCCAGCTGAAGAGCTGGCTGGAGCGCATCCCTTACACTGCCCTTGTGGGAGACATAACCTGTGAGACCCCTTTCCACTTCCACGGGAAGGACCTGAGGGAAATTAAGAGGAATAAACTCTGCCCAATGCTGTCTGACTCAGAGCTGGTCAGCATCGGTGCCCCTCAGTTGCCCTCAAGCAAGGAGAACGCGTGGCCTACTAAGCCTTCTTCCATGCTGTCCTCTTTCCATTTCACTGCTTCCTCTGTCGAATACAAAACTTCCATTAAGCAGCCCAGGCCCACCAAACAGCCCAGGGCACACAAGCCACCCCCGACACCTCGAGGCCTATACCCTGCGCCCAACCAGCCCCCAATAGCTGGTTACCAGACGAGGCCACCCATCCCCATCATCTGCCCTACTGGCTGTTCATGCAGTTTGCACATCAATGACTTGGGCCTGACAGTCAACTGCAAGGAAAGAGGGTTCCACAATATTTCCGAGCTCCTGCCCAGGCCCGTCAACGCCAAGAAGCTGGTCCTCAGCGGTAATTTGATACAGAAAATTTACCGTTCCGATTTCTGGAATTTTTCTTCCCTGGATCTCCTGCATTTGGGGAACAATCGGATCTCCTACGTTCAGGACGGGGCCTTTGTCAACCTGCCCAACCTGAAGAGCCTGTACCTGAACGGCAATGACATTGAGAAGCTGACCCCAGGCATGTTCAGGGGTCTGCAGAGCCTGCACTATCTGTATTTTGAGTACAACCAGATCAGGGAGATCCAGCCCGCTGCCTTCAGTCTCATGCCCAACCTGAAGCTTCTCTTCCTCAACGACAACCTCCTGAGGAACCTGCCTACAGATGCCTTTGCAGGCACCTCTCTGACCAGGCTCAACCTGAGGAACAACAAATTCCTGTACTTGCCCGTGGCTGGCGTGCTGGAGCACCTCAACGCCATTGTGCAGATTGACCTGAAGCTCAACCCGTGGGATTGCACGTGTGACCTGGTACCTCTCAAGCAGTGGATTGAGGCCATCAGCTCCGTCATCATGGTGGGGGATGTCCTTTGCGCCAGCCCAGACAACCTTACCCACAGAGACATCCGCTCTGTGGAGCTGGAAGTACTCTGCCCCGAGATGTTGCATGCTGCTGCTGCCTCGCCAGCCCCTCCAGCGTGGGGCCACCCTAGCCCCACCAGTCCATCGCCCTATGAGCTCCCCCCGGCTGGGGGAGGCCCGGTGCCCCTCTCCGTGCTCATCCTCAGCCTCCTTGTACTGTTCTTCTCAGCGGTCTTCATTGCTGCGGGCCTTTTCGCCTTCGTCCTGCGCAGGCGTCACAAGAAGCTACCCTTCCGGAACAAGCAGCGGCAGGAGACCCTCGACTTGACGGGCATCCAGATGCAGTGCCACCACCTCTTCGAGGAGGGAAGCGGCGGAGGCGGCGGGGGACTCAGTGCCTCCCCGGAAAAGGCACCCCCGGTGGGCCACGTCTATGACTACATCCCGCATCCAGTGACCCAGATGTGCAACAACCCCATCTACAAGCCCCGCGAGGAGGACGAAGTGGTGGCGGGGGAGCCGGGGCAACCTGGGGACATGCTTTTGGGAGGTGGTGGTGGTGCTGGTAGTGGTGGTGGTGGTGGAGGAGGAGTTGGATGTGCAGGGGAACAGTTTGCCGACCCCACAAAGGACGGTGGGAGCAGCAGCTGCTACAGGACCTTACTGGAGAAGGAGAAGGAGTGGAGCTTGGCCGTGTCCAGCTCGCAGCTCAACACCATAGTGACCACCAACCATCACCCGCACCCGCACCCGCCCGGTGGGGGGATTGGAGGGGGGCTGCCTCTCCTGGGGGAGCTAGCGCTGGTGCCGCCTGTCTTCCACCACGAAAAGAACGGTGGGGTGGTGCTATTCCCCCCTAGTGGTGCCATTCTAGACAGCAGGGACAGGCCGCCTTTGGCGCCACCGTGCACGGTGGGCTTTGTGGACTGCCTCTACGGCACGGTGCCCAAATTAAAGGAACTGCACGTGCACCCCCCTGGCATGCAATATCCAGACCTGCAGCAGGACGCCAGGCTGAAAGAGACCCTCCTCTTCTCGGCTGGTAAGGGCTTCCCAGACCACCACCAACCCCCCCAAAGCGAATACCTCGAGTTAAGGGCCAAACTCCAAACCAAGCCGGATTACCTCGAAGTCCTGGAGAAGACCACTTATAGGTTTTGAAACAAAACAAAACAAAAGTCTAGCTTTTACAGCCAAATCCCAGACCCGCCCCACAGCCCCACAGCCCCCTGAGTCCCCACTCCTTGGCTCCCCGCCCTTCCTGCCCCCAAACCACCGCATGCTGATACTAGAGGATACTGCTCTGTGCTTTCCCCCTGCCAGATGTTGGTTTGGAGGAAAGGCCCTTCTCAGATGATCATGAATCGATAAAGTGCCTTTTGCAGACTTTTGCCAGCAGATGTTAATCAATCATTATTTTTTTATACTGGAAAAAAATGGAGACTTTGACTGTGCCATGTTGTCTAAGGTATACGAATATTATTATAATTAGTATCATGGGGGGGGGGTTATTTGCCTCGGTCCTGATGACAGTAAATTCTATGTGTGTTACGCTACTCTCTCTATCTCCTCTCTCTCTCTCACAGGCTTTTGTTTTTTTCTGTTGTAGTTTTTTTAAAAAACAAACAAACAAAACAAAACAGAAACCTTTTCGTTCTATCTTTTTTTTTTTTTTAATGCTATGGGGAGGGAGGTGGATTTTTTTTTTAAAAAAAAAAGACAACATCGGTTGTGGCATTGGTTATTCTTTCCCTCATCAGGGCACAGAACCTGTACATTACTTTGAAGGGGTGGTGGGTGTCTGGGGTGGGGAAGAGAACCACAAGAACAGCAACAAAAGCAGTTCTCTGCATGTCTGGGAACTGCAGGCAGCGACGGGGGAGAGGGGTCCTTTTCTTCCCCAAATGTTCTCACTCTCTTGGCTTCTCCTCCTCCTCTTCCTTCTCTCTCTCTCTCTCTCTCTCTCTTTCTCTCTCTCTCACACATACAAACACAGGTCCAAACGCTTATTCTGCTCCACTCTGTATCCTAAACCCCCTCCAATCAGCCTCCTAGCCATCCCAATTTGCTTGCACCCTGTTCTATTTCTGCATCTCTCCCCCCACCGCAAGGATGGGGTACCACAGTCTATTCCAGAGGGGAGGTCACTGGCTTGCTTCTCCAGCGAAGGAGCTATCTATTTGTTCCCTTCTGTGGCTGCCCTACAGGGAAGGAAAGGTCATTGCCATTTGATTGAGTTCCTTTCTGGAGGACAGCTGCACCTCTAATTAAAAAGAGAACCGGACGTCACAAATGCATTGGAAAGGGGACGTTTGCTTGGTAAGCTGCCACCGGTGTCTCTGTAAAAGAAGCCCTTTTGGGTTGCAGTCCTGTGGCTCCTCACCTGGGAGTAAGCCCCATGGAAATCAGTGGGGCTTCCTTCTGAGTAGAGGTGCTAACGTTCTCCCCCCCCTCGCTCACAAATGCAGACAACACACAAATACACACAAATACAATTGTGCATATATTTATTCTGTACTTTCAAGTGAATATAAATTGTAAAGGTAATGTTTAATCATTGTACAGTGATGCGTCTGGTATAGCTTTCCTAATAAAACGTTTTGAAAAAAATATATAGATATAGGTATATAGATATATATTAGAAGTTAAAAGAAAAAGCTTGAATCTTAAAACTTCAACTATACCCTTTTCACACCAATGCTTCCCTCCCCCTCCCCCCTTTAAGGCCACATGTTATTTTATTAACAACAATCCACTGTGATGTTAGCAAGGTATAGGACAACAAATAACTCTTGGTGCAAATTTTCTATATATAAAAAAGATGGTTCTGGACTTTAGAATTCAGATTTCCAGTCTCTTCCTCTCTCTCCCTCTCTCTCTCTCTCTCTCTCTCTGTTTCTCTCTTTCCCCTCCCTCCATTTCAATTTGTTATGCATCTCTCTTGGTGAGTTTTTCCCCACCCCTCCTAGATGAAAATATGCAATAGATTTATTTTAATTCCTTTTAATTGCTAGGATTATTATGTTCCGCTGCAAGGATATGAGGAAAAGAAATGATAATATGAGATACAATTTGCAGTTGAGATTGGATAAAATATTTAAAAGTACATGGAAGGAAATGCATTTATAGAGGAGTGTGTGTGTGTGTGCGTGTGCGTGCAGGATAGCAAGCATACATTGCTGCATTTTGGGCAACAGCAGTTGTTGGGCATGTTTGCATTTCTCTCCCCTTTTTGATAAAAACAAAAACAATCGAGAAAATTAGGCCTAATAGCATGAGTTCAAGTCTCTGCCTCTCTGCTCTCACACTCGTTTTCACTGAAACAGTAGCTGGAGATGTGAGACAATGAAGTGTTGTGTGTGGAATTTTCTTATTTAAGATATTTCTTCTTTTAACTTTTCAGTCGCTATGACATTGCCAAATTGATTTGTGTGGCGCATGTTATTCTTAAGCCCTTTAGGTTAGAATAAAACCAAAGAGGGGAAGAGAGAGAGGTGGGGGGGGGAGAGAAAGTGGAAAAGATGCTTTGTTTATTTCGTTTCTTTCCAAGGTATCTAGCTGGTATCTTGTTTCTTGTAGAACTGGGTTGACACATGAATAAAGCCGAAGGAAAAAGCTTTGTTTGATGGCGGAAAAACAAAACAAAAAAACCTCACACCTTCCAGTATGGCCAGTAGATGGCGACAGAGCTCCAGCAATTGCCTCTCAAAGACCCAAGGTTACTTTTGAATTGTGCACAGCCCATCAACGGTGCTTTCCACTTGGACTCTTGAATCTGTCCTTAATAGAAAAATCATCGCATTGAATGTAATTCAGCAGACGTCACTAATGCCTTACATCGAGATAGAGATATAATTAAAGGGAAAGTGTGGATATTAGCTCCTTTGGTGTGTACGGATGTGAAATGGGGAAATCCTCTATTTTGAAGATTTTTATACACACACACACACATACACACACCCTGCTGCGCACGCACACACACATGCACACACACACACATTGCACACCGATGCAGAAAAAGAGGGAAATGTATTTAGAAATGAAATATTGCAAAATATATATTTTATTTGTCTTACTTAAAAAAAAAAAAATGTTATCCAGGGAAAATGAAATGTTTCTGCTGCAAAGGAGAAAAACACTTAAAAGCTGCTTCCAGTGCTCATTGGTGTTTCTAACAAATCTTGTTAAGGAATCGTAGCATAAATCATAGCAATTTAGGCCAGGGTCAGACTTTTTTTACCCATGCTACAATGTCATATATGTGCTCATTTTATTTTAAAGAAAAGTCTGCTCTTTTGAAAATACTGTTTTAAAAAAGAAAACTGGTATATATAATATTATGTACATGTGGTAGAGCTGCCCAACGAACAACCATGTACAAATCAGTTTTTAAAAACGAGAGCTTTAGAATGTAAAATGGTTTAACCCTGCTGGAGTTATGGGCCTTTTATTTTTTAGTCGATAGCCAAGGAACCCAGCATTACTCGTTGGGGGATTGTGGCAGAATTTAGGCTTCAGTATGCCAAACTATGGATTGAGACAGCCCCATGTGCACAGTTTAGGCTCTCTTGCCTTTGGGCTTTTTTACATTATGTATTGATTAAAAGGCCTACAGGTAGCAAATGTGCGGTTGGAGGTTTTGTGCCTGCTGCATATAATCTTGCTGCCCCAAGATAAGCTTGTGCAAAAGGCTGACCCCTTCTCTGCGAAAAAACAACAACAACAGTGTGCTTGGTGGGTTATGGCTGTGACCAGGCCTGGATTAACCCTTACATTAAGCCTGCTATGAGATAGGGAGGCTGCCACGTTGGATGCTTAGCTTCTGAGAATTCCTCAGCGCAGGGGATGGGCCTAGATGGGGGAAGAGGAAGCTGTCGGGTCACATCTCGCTGCATATTTTATCTTCTGACCCACAGCAACACTGCAGGTTGCCTGAAATCCATGCATGGGAGACATGCAAGGGGGTTGAGCCTTGGAGCTTTCTGTGTGCAAAGGATGGGCTCTGAAACTTATGACCCCTTCCCTAAAAGGATTTTTTAAAAAACCCTGGATTTGAATTTAGGGACCTTTCAGCTGTGGGGTGAAAGTGAAAACCTCTACACTACAGAAAGCATCCCTACGCTGCCAACGGGGTTAGATTGATCGCGTTAAATTTCTGCGTACTGTATCTGAAAACATGGCTGTGATCCTTTTCCCCTGTAGCAGGGAATCAGCATCCCAAAGGCCCACATGGAGGAAGAGAGCTGAATCCAGGGAGGCTGGCTAGCAGAAGACTCAGAATATGTCCTATTGGGGCACAGATGGGATGAGCATTATGGCCACCTAGAAGCATAGGTTCTCTATGTTTCTTGAATTCATAGGTCAAGGAGATGCAAAAAGCCCACCTATAGGCTCATTGGGTGTGTGACCCATTGGGAATGAACCTATCAGGGTTCCTGAAGTTATTCTTGGTCCTTAAGGCGTCAATACTAACTAGGTCTACCCAGACGCTACTTCCAATTAATTCAATGGGGCTCAGCCCAGGTAAGTGGAGTTAGGATTGCAGCCTAAATCTTTGATATTGGAAGCTCTTCAAAAAAGTCTATGATATCCAATTGTGGTGTCTCTTTTGCTCAGTTGACTTCCCGTGCCTCTCCCTCTAATCCCTCATGCACCCCCAAAATCTACTGTGGGGGTTTGGGGGATCCCCTGAGACAGACAGGGGGGCTGCAGAAGAAAGGGGAGAATGGGAATCCCATTTGTCGAGGGATGTTGGATCCGACCCATCTTTCAGTCTTTCCCACCTTATTGAGTTATTACACACAGCTGTCTTTACAATATAGATTTTCTTGCTATTGCATTAAGTACTTTTTTCTCTATCTCTCTCAAAAAAAGTTGTTGGTACAGATAAGCTTGCATGCGTTAAACAAAATTATAAACCAGGAAAAGCAGATCCAGATACTCTGAAAGGCAGTCATTATGCAGCTATTGATAACAACACACGCATGAACACCATTCAGTATTGTACAGAGCAGGTTAAACTGCAGATCTTACCATGACAAGGTGCTGAACACATTTTAAATACAGTATTGCACACATCAAAGTATAGCGGGAATAAATGGTTATAAATAATGTTTATATTTTATTTATACTCGCATCTCAACTCCAATATAGGGTGCAAT